GAGAGAGAGAGAGAGAGAACGAGAGAAAGAGAGAGAGAGAGAACGAGAGAAAGAGAGAGAGAGAGAGAGAGAGAGAGAGAGAGAGAGAGAGAAGAAGAAGAAGAAGAAGAAGAAGAGAAGAAGAAGGCGAATACCCTCATACCTTATGAACATATTATCACAGAGTGGCTTATTTCTGTCAAGCGTCCTCGTCGATGTCTCTTTAAAGCTATAAATAAGGTGTTTAAAGTGGGAGGGGTGAGTGAGTGAGGGGGGGGGGGGGAAAGAAAGAGATAGAGAGAGAGGGGGGGGGGGGGGGGGGGGGTCTTAACTCTCCAATAATGTTATGGCACTGAAACGAAGAGTGATTTGTTTAGCTTTGAGGCATCTACGCCGTTAGCAATTAAATGTTAGATTATAAAAGAGGCAAGATCACAGACCCCCCACCCCCTACCCCAGAGTGAGTTATGAGCACGATCCTTACTTGTTCTTTCGTCTGAGTATGTAGTCATTGACCTTTTCATTGATTAAAGCTACACAAATAGAGACAGCAGCAGATCGAATCACAGAGGTTTAACTTTTCACTGTCACATTTGTGTTGAGACGTGGTGGAATCGGGCTCTCGTTAGTTTTGGGCATACGGGATATAGGTATAGTCTTAAAGCCTGCTTATTTGCCTTTCTATTAGTGAAAAAAATACCCATCCATCTAGACCAGAAATGGAGATATGGAGATGGGTGTCGCATGGTGGTTTAAGAGGTCAAATTAGGGAGAAAATGGCCACCAAGCGTTGGTGACTTCTAAAGTTTGGGTGTCCTTAGAAACTGCAAATTTACTGTTTTAAAGCTTTTGATCAACGTGTTTCAGTCAGGTCTACTCAGGAATGTGTTTTTTTTTTATTAACATAAAAGGTATTAAGTCTATAATTTTTAAAAAGCAATGAAAAAATTCCCAACGGTGGAAAAATGTCTGTTTCATTGATTTCGTTATTTTGCCGAGCGCCTGAATTCAACACGGTGACACACAGTTGCTCACGACTTGAGTAATGGCCTTTTAAAACCCCCTGATTTGCACTCAGCAAATTTGCTGGCATCGAATCTATGTAAATAACGAAAACTGTGTGCTCAAACCGCTGTGTGGTTTCGCTAATTAGTTCATCGCGCAAATATCTGCAGTTTATTTTTTTTTCCCGTACATTTATATCGGCTGTCTAAAAGCTTGCTGCACTAAACAGACTACATATAAGTGAAATACTGGGTGATCTAAAAAAATCTGCACAACATTTTTTTCTAAATATCTAGTACAAAATTGGTACCAGAAAGTTGTAATTTGGTACAGACATAATTCATTTTAAAGGAATTTGTCCGACATAAAATTCACAAATTTTCGAAAACGGAAATGGCTTTTTATAAAAGTCACCTATAAATGCAAAATGCACCAATTTAAAAGATCTGATAAGGAAAGTCATGGAATAATTGGTTTGTTTTTGTTTTTTCTTTCCTTTTAGTCTTAAAATCTAATCTTTCCGTCCCAATAGCCTTTAAACAATATTCATTTTCTTCCACAGAAATATTAAAAAACCCAACAATTTTAATTCTGGAATTTTGAGAACCAAATTCGACCCAAGAAAGCAAAAATATCTTAAGTGCCATGACTGCTGTTTGGAGAAAATCGCGAATTAAAATTTTGAAACAGTTTGAGTATTGAAATAAGACAAAATGTGATTTTCCTATAATTGTTGAACCAGTTTGAGTAGTGAGATAAGACACAATTTCTTTGAAAGGCGACATCAAGCTCTACTTAGCCAAATGTTTATGTCTGATTTGTTTATTTTAGCACTTAAGACATTTTTGCTTTCAATGGTTGCAATGGTCTCTCTCTCTCTCTCTCTCTCTCTCTCTCTCTCTCTCTCTCTCTCTCTCTCTCTCTCTCTCTCTCTCTCTCCATATCGCTGGTGGAGTGGTGAAACCTCGTAACCCTCATTTTGTCGAAATTCGTTTTTTTTGGCTTAATGTCTTCTCCCAGTCCTTCTTCACAATGTGTCAAAAGCACTAGGTCATATTAGTAAAAGAAAGTATGAAAAATACTTAATAAGAAAACCTCGTATGTTTGCCCCTATGATATCCTGGCGTGATGAAACCTCGCAACCCTCACCTGGTGCGCCGATCTGCTTTTGCGTGGTTTGATCACTCCTGGTTTG